TAAGACCTAATAGGTACTCAATAAGTATTTGTTGAATGGCTAACAGATGACTGGCACCTGGGACAGAAGAGTAGGAAAGGGTGAAGAAGGTACCTGAGATGGTGGGGCCGATACAGTATCCCCCACTCCCAGGTAGTTCCCCATGGACTGTGTGGGACATGGATGGGAATCTGAAGCTCCTGGGTGCCACGGTGGGGATGTAGAAGATGGTTTTGGTGCTGGCTGGTGAGTTCACCAGGTTATCACTGCACGGGGGGCAGAGAAGACAGTTCAAACCAAGGATGCCAAGGGGGGTATCCCAAAGGCACAGAGATGGGTTCAACTCATCTAAAGTCAGCAGAAGCAAGTAGAGGAAGGCGACACTTGAAATGGGAGAAAAATGTTTAAACTTAAGAGATTAATATAAGGGATAATGGCTACCCCCATCATTTTCTGCCATCAGCAAAAAACGGGGTTCAAAACAAATGATATATGATTATAGAAAATTAAGTCCTCATTTTGCACAACCAATTTTTACCCAAATTCATGTGAAATGAAAAGTCATGGAGATGCATGGAGCTTACTCAAGGGAAGAAGAAGAAAAGCAGAACTTCTACATTTAAGAGACCGTGGTTAGAAGAGAAAATAAGAAAGAGTGTTCAGAGAGGCTAAGATGGGAACCAGAACAGAGGAATGTAGTGGAAACCACAGCAAAATTAATTTATTCAAGAAAGGACATGAATGATAAGAAAGAATTAGCCATTACTTTGATAATTTGGTTGATGTACTTTGGAGATATTCAAGGTTTTAGCCCTCCCTCCCCAGGACTGAACCAGATGCCATGACTAGGTGTTGACAAACTTCTGCCAGCTACATGGTTGCTTTCCAAGACTTCAAACTAAATTGGGAGACCCAACTTTCAGTCCTAGGTCTGCTGCAAACTAGCATGGTGACCTTGGGTAAGTTTCTTAACTTCTCTTGGTTTGCCTTTTTCTTGCCTATTAAATTAAAGCATGAAACAATACCACTTCCAAAGTCTTGGTCCTGGATCAGCTAAGCTGGCATGTCTGGAGTTCCTACATGTCTGCTATTCTTTCCATCCAGGAGTGACCTCCTTACCAGGTTTCAGGGCTCATCTTACCCTGCTTGCTGTGGGAGGCTCCATGAACTCTATCACCACGTATCTCATTTATTTCCCCCAAATTTCCTTCCATATATATGTCTTGGCTTCCCCAGTAGACTGCACAAGTTACTTCACATCTGAGACCATTGTTTATAATTATTTATAACCTTCACAATAGGAAGCACAATGTCTTACATTCAAAAGACATTCAACAAATCCTCGTTCTTCCATTATTAATTACAGACTGCACACATTTTTAATTTTTCTCTTTGTTTTGTTCCTTGAAAGGTTTATGACTGCGAAAGCAGTTCTCCAAACACAATGACCTCACTAAACCAGTAAAAAGGAATCATCATTCGGCTTTAAAACAAGGAGTGGCAAGGATAAAAGTATCTGTCAAATATTAGAAAAGAAGTGGAACATTCTTGCAAATTCACACTGCAAGAACATGCTTCTCTCTGACTCCTCTTTTCAGTTTCTCTGGAACATTTGGCTCTGCCCCACTTGCACACAGAAATATGCTTTATTTACCAATGTTAATGCTAGTGTAAGGCTGGAGCTGTAGTATCCCAGCAATCTGAATGAAATTGAAGTTTTCTACTGATTATTCAGATTTTCCAAGTGGGGTTTTTTTTAACTCTCATCCTTGTATTTGGTGATGAAGATCTTGCAGCACGATCTTTAGAAATGTCTGTAACCAATTTTTCCATCTGGAATGTGAGATTATACCTACAGTGTAATTACTCTTCATACCTAATGTGTTGTGTATGGTGCCAAAATATCAATCATGATTTGCAGTATTACACTGCCACAAAACCCTCACAATAGGCATTTGCTCTTACACATTTAAATAAAAATTGCACCTTATTTTTCTCTGCTTGATTCTTACCATCCTGGGCTCTGTTGCTTTAAATTATAATAATAAGAAAACCTAACATTCTTTAAAAGAAGTCTTGCCTCTCTTTCAAAGAGGCAAAACCACAGTACACAGGGGTGAACTTTATTAGTGAAGACTTTTCTGTCCTTTTGAAGCATATATTAAAACTTGTCTTTACTAGCCTGCTATGAAAATTGTCATAATTAAAAGCAAGCTAACATGTGAAAGTAAATAACATACACCCCATGAGATAGGAATCATTAATGTTTCTTATCAATTGTTTGCTTACCCACTAATTTGCAAAGTTTCAGTAATTCACAGTGGATCTCCTTATTATTGCTGGGAATTCAAAACTTCTACTGAGCCCATTAATTTCTCTCTTCTTTGACTATTATTTATCATTGGATTGTGTAATTGCATTATTGATATTAAGCTCTCTGGGAGAGCACTCCACTATATTTGAAATGAAACAATCTTAGTACTGTAAGGCTGCCTTAGGAAAAAAGACATAAAATTTTACTCCTATAATTTTTCTATGAACAATCCTGTAGATGTAAGCTTTAAAAATAATAATTGCTACCCACTGAGGATAATGCCAATTAACTGCATGCTGCCTTCTGACAAAATGTAATCATACATCCTTCTCAGTTTTTTTAATAAAGTTGCATCATTTTTTTCCTTTTAGTTAACATTTGATTAATCTAGAGATGAAAAATTATCAGTATTCTTAAAATAGTACAAGAGGAGAGCTATTTCATGGCTTTACAAAATAGTAATATAAACTTTGCTTTGAAGTAAAGCCCTTCCTTATGGTTCCAGTAAGACTGAATACTCCATTAGGGCATTGAGGCTGGCTAAGTAGCTGGTATTCAATATTTATTCATTAACTGTGTGAATAACATATATGGATTTAATATTTGGATTCTGGATTTGGTACTAATGGGCCAGTTAGTATTAGATTTTCAAGTTTGTATCAACAAACTATTCTTCTAATATAAGTGTTGCTCATTTCATATGATTAATGCCATCTTACCATTTTATGCCACTAATTTGCATAGTATGTTCAAACATTAATTTATTCAATCCTATTCAATGCGCTAGGCAATATTTTTCCCCCCAATTTACAATGAGTACACAACCTCTAGAACCTTAGAACTCCATCTGTGACTGTAGATCTCTCCCCTTGTTTTACCTGGTTATGGCCTGAGAGCTAGATTTCTACAGTTAAATTGACCCCCCAAATACATATTGAAATATCAATAGAGGAAATGTTGCGGAGTCTTGGATTTGTTTCAAAATGATCTGGTAATGGCAGGGAGGGGGTAGTGGGTGAGTATAGAGATGATGCATGATTGGTCCAAAGTAGCAAATTGTTAAAGCTAGGGGATGAGCACATGAAGCACTCTCTTACTTATGTAAATGTGTGAAATTTCCCACACTAAACTTAAGAAAAATCTGAGAAATAAAATTAAATAAATAAATAAAATGCTCCTTCCCAAGGTGTTTTGCTAAAGATAAGAGGATTTCTGCCATTAGATTTTAAACTAACTCAACCCTGCCTCCCACATTAGATGCATGGATCTAATATGAACTGACTCTTTTATATTCAACTGGAAATTGGCCAAGTAGTTTTACAGTGCAGAACTTAAAAGAAAGTCCCAAATACTTAAGATATATAGAAATGGCTAAATCTCTTGCATTTTAGTTTATTGGGAATACTACACTGTGAATGCAACATGACATCCTAGAATGATGTGTTTGTCATTGTTGCCTAGTTTTTTTCGAAGTTGAAGTCTCATAGTAAAATAGCAAGCAGTGTGACCTCTAACTCTGTGTATAGAGTATATTATTAAATAACAGCATTCAGCAAGAGCTATAACTCCAAGTTATATGCTCCTAAACATAAACCCAGGCCTTATGTAATTGCCATGGATTGTTCTGTGAAATTACAGTTGGGCTCTGCATTTAAGGCAATGAAGATGACAGAGCTGCCCCACCCAAAAAAAGACACTACATTGAATCTTCAACTTCTGGATTTTAAGTGCGTCAAGAAAAACCCACCAAACAGTAGTCCTTTCCTTCTAAAAGGAAAGGTATTGACTAGAAACTCTGTTATTCAAGAAATCAAAACTGCCTCTTCTTTGAAACCAACTTCTTTCCTAATTTTCTCAGCTAAGGCAGAGCACATCCTCAAGGTCTGGAAAGGAACTTAAGACCAGGTAGGTACCTTGATCAGAAATGGGTGTTACATCCCTATTGCCTTGGGCCCCACCAGGAAAAAAAGAAAAGAACCATTTGTCAGCTTGAGGGGCCCTTTGCTAGGTCCCTGTGCAGAGGAATCCAGAGCACAAGTGAAGGATGGATCACGGGTCATTATACAACAAAGCAAAAGGGAAGGAAAATAAGAGATAGTAATAACAGCATCGTGGGCACAATCACTTGCACATTGGAAATTTGCAGCTTTGACATCCCTTTCTCAAGCTATGTTCAGAAATAAGCTGAAATATCAAAATAATTTAAAGGTTACTGGCAAGAAAAATAAAAGAACATATTCAGACTTGAAGCATGGCAACACATTATCACCACAAACAATAATGAAAGCAATGACACAGACTAATAAAATATTTTAAGGCGAATGTTTTTCCCTTTTCAGCACTAACACATGAACATTTTCATCCATATTCTCCAAATCAGATTGCTAAAGAAGTAAAATATATGAATTCATTTACTTCTATTTATATAAAGAACACAACGTAAACTTGAAGAACTGCTAAGAAATCATTCTGATAACTCTGGTTTTGTATATACAATAAATTATGAGTTAATTCTATAGGAAGTCAGTACTAACGACTTATTTTAATTTTTCTTATAAGATCTAGAAATGGATGCAAATATATGAAATATTTCATGTAGCAATTAATATTTTCTTATCTTAAGATGATTATTTTCCTTAAGACAAGCATGAACAACTTCAAACAGACTATTAGAGGTCATCGTGAAGAAACTGGAAGACACACTTACGTGAGACAGCAAAGCCAGTTCGCGGTGACACGTGATGGAGTTCCGGTTGGCTTCCATAAAATACCTCTGTGTGCGCCTCCGTTCCCGCTCCAGCTTCTTCTCTAAGGCCAGCTGGGATGTAGACAAGTTGTCTAAATACTTCATCATGACATCTGATATCATCGAGCTGACTTCTACAATATCTGCGCGGGTTTCTGCATCAGGAGTGAGGCACCTAAGAGAAGAGAAGCTAATTACAGCCGCCTTGTGAATGTTGGGGCCAGGCTAGGGTGTGTGGACGGTCAAGGTTAACCTCCACTGTTGTCTACCACAGTGTCTGCACCCAAGAGAAACTAGGGTAAAAAGAACATCAAATATAGTTTTGAATCCAAGACTTCTCGGAAGGCATTTGGAATGTATGGGTGGGAAAGGGAAACAGCATGTTGACTTTGCATTTGGGCTGGGAGGCAAAGGTTACTGGCTGAGCATAAAGCTGCTCCTCAGGTCTCAGAAGATGCATGAAAATTGGTTTCCTCTGTGACCTGGTAATTTTCTAAAATCACTGCCAACTCACTGGTCAGTAAAACAGAGAGATCACAAGGATACAGGAACTGATGATCGACTCTGAGGCACCAAAAGGAAGGAAGGTTTCTGGGAAGCAACAACTTATTGGCCTTTCCAGCTGTACAATGGCAGTATGAACACAACTTTACTAGTGAAAGTTTTATAAAAAAACATGAAGTCATAAAAATAAAATGTAACCCAGTTACTGAGAAGTTTAAGATATTAATAGCAATTTTTTTAAGCAGCTAATTCGGTCAACTTCATGCTAATATTCTCTGTGATTTTGGAAGTAGGAAATATCAATCAGCCTGCTAAGGGGAGTATCATTCATGTCACAACTGAACACTAAGAGAGGCTACTCCAGATGCCCATGGAACCAATATCAAAATCATTGATTGGCATGCTTTAAAAACTTTTGACCCTCACTGTAATGTTTTCTCTATTTTTCTTTACTTCAAATTCTCTAACTTCACTAAGTCATATGTACATCTCAATAAAATTTTACTTGTTTTGACTTTGAGTCGAAAATCTAATTTTCACATCTTGTATTTGATTTAGAACCCATAGTAAATACAACTTTCACCTATACTGATGCCTCCAGGTAAGATTTAAGAATTACTACCTGCAATTATTTTTCACAACAGAAGTCAAAATAAGACTTAAACTTGCTAATTAGCTAATGACTCTTCCTTATTGAGTTTATTAACCATGAATAAAATATACTCATCTTAACCAGATTTTAAGACATTTCATGTTTTGTCATTTCATCCTTTTTCTTTTTTTGCATTTTTTTTTGGTGTCATTAATATAAAATCACATGAGCAATATTGTAGTTACTGGATTCCCCCCATTCGCAAGTCCCCACCACATACCCCATTACAGTAACTGTCCATCAGCATAGTAAGATGCTATGGAGTCACTAATTGTCTTCTCTGTGCTCTGCCACCTTCCCCATGCCCCCCATCACGTTATGTGTACTGATTGTAATGCCCCTTATTCCCCTTCTCTCTTCCTCCCAACCCACCCTCCCCAGTCCCTTTCCCTTTGGTAACTATTAGTCCATTCTTGGGTTCTGTGAGTCTGCTGCTGTTTTGTTCCTTCAGTTTTTCCTTTGTTCTTATGATCCACAGATGAGTGAAATCATTTGGTACTTGTCTTTCTCCACATGGCTTATTTCACTGAGCATAACACCCTCTAGCTCCATCCATGTTGTTGCAAATGGTAGGATTTATTTTCTTCTTATGGCTGAATAATATTCCATTGTGTATTTTCTTTATCACACATTTTTATACCACATCTTCTTTATCCATTCATCTACTGATAGATACTTAGGTTGCTTCCATTTCTTGGCTATTGTAAATAGTGCTGTGATAAACATAGGGGTGCATTTATCTTTTTGAAACTGGGATCCTACATTCTTGGGGTAAATTCCTAGGAGTGGAATTCCTGGTCAACTGGTATTTCTGTTTTAAGTTTTTTGAGGAACCTCCACATTGCTTTCCACAATGGTTGAACTAACTTACATTCCCACCAGCAGTGTAGGAGGGTTCCCCTTTCTCCGCACCCTCACCAACATTTGTTGTTCCTAGTCTTTTCTCTTTTGGACATCCTAACTGGTGTGAGGTGATATCTCATTGTGGTTTTAATTTGCATTTCCCTGATAATTAGTGATATGTAGCATCTTTTCATGTGCCTGTTGGCCATCTGAATTTCTTCTTTGGAGAAGTGTCTGTTCATATCCTCCACCCATTTTTTTTCATCCTTTTTCTTTATGCTATTTCTTTTTAAATGCCAAGGCAATGGGCTTGCACTATGGTTATGACAGACACTTACACAACTGCTGAATTCATATATAACAAAGTTTTTCTATGCATTTATTATATACAAAGTAAGGAGAGAGATTGTGGAAGCAGGGTCAGATACATGATTTTTGTGGTGCCCATGCAAAATGATTATGTAGGACCTTAGCAGAGGTAAGGGAGTCAATCTTCCCTTCCCACAGTCCAGCACCCCAAAAGACTTCAACTCCATGCCCACAAGATGCACTTGGTATCTTGTGGACAGGAGGTGGACAAGAGGCCCTCCCTGAGTCACCCACTGAGTGTGCCATCGTCCTGCCAAGTTTGATCAGGGATGGCCTCTTTATCTCACTCCAAGATGCAACAGAGCACATACTCACTCGGACTTTCTCCTCATCTGTATCCACACCCCATTTGGGGAGCATGGTAAAAGTGAAACACAGGTCCCTCCTGCTGACACATCCAAATGCCATGTTAGGTAGATGAGAGCAACAATGATGGAATGAGAACAGAGAGATAGAACTGGAGGCCGTTCCAGGAGCCAAGGAAGCTGGCAGAAGATGGCTGAGAATCTGTTTCATGGAGGCAGGTAGCTAGAGGATCCATGTATGAGGTGAGGCTCCAAACGTGAAACACACATGACCCTTGTCCCATCAGAATTCACTTCCAAAACATAAATTCTGAGATAAAGTTATTACAAATTTCATGACTTCAAAGCAGAGCCTTAAACTCCAAGCACAGGACCTTTTTGAGTGTGGAAGCCCTGTGAAGGTCATAGGCAAGTGAAGCTGACTTGTGTGGCAATGACATATTTGTATTCAAGTTTCTCATTTTTGCTCAAAATCACAAAAGAAGCAAAGTTGATAAATTTTACTTTCTAAATAAATCAGTTTCCTCATTTGGCCCCAGTTGGCAAGAGGGACTAAAGCTGATACAAAAAATGATTGGTTAACCTATTGTTAATTATGAGTGCCTTGTCAGAGAAGAATAAAAAAAAGCATCCAAGCTTTTCATTAGTGCATTAGGTGAAATTCTTTGTCTACCGTTATTTACACTGATGCAAGATAATAATAGCAGTTGAATTATGACCTGAGCTTTTTCTTTTTCATTGAAAAGACAAATAATGACACATTATGATAGCCTTAAATGACATGTTAGACCAATGGCTTAATAGATATATACTGAACATTTCATTCAAAAACTACAGCATATGCATACTTTTCAAGTGTACATTGAATATTCACTAGGATAAATTACATATTCAGCCTCAAAATAAGTCTCAATAAATTCAAGATTGAGATCATACCAAGCACTCTGCCAACCATAATGGCATGAAATAGAACTCAATTACAAGAAACCTGGAAAAAACACAAACATGTGGAGGCTAAACAACATGCTACCAAACAACCAAGGGGTCAATGAAGAAATCAGAGAAGAAATTATAAAAAAATGCCTTGAGACAAATATAGAACCATGATGTTCCAAAGTTTATGGGGATTCAGCAAAAGCAATTCTAAGAAGAAAATTCATAGCAATACAGGCTAACCTCAAAAAACAAGAAAAATCCCAAACAAATAATCTAACTTTACACCTAAAGGAACTAGATAGAAACAAGAAGAACCAACAAAGCCCAAATTTAGTAGAAGGAAGGAAATAAAGATGAGAGTAGAAATAAAGAGACTAAGAAAACAATAGAAAAGATTAATGAAATTACAAGCTGGTTCTCTGAAAAGATAAACAAAACCTGTAGCCAGGCTCATCAAGAACAAAAGAGAGAAGACCCAAATAAATAAAATCTGAAATTAAAGTTACAAACAATACCACAGAAATACAAAGGATCATAAGAGACTACTAGTAATGTCAACAAATTTGAAAACCTAAAAAAAATCCACTAATTCCTGGAAACACACACCTTCCAAGACTGAATCACAAAGAGAAAGAAAATCTGGATTGACCAATTACAAGTGATGAAATTGAATCACTACTTTGAAACTCCCAACAAAGAAAAAGACAGTACCACAGTTTTACAGATGAAGTCTACCAAGCATTTAAAGAAGACCTAGTACCTATCTTCCTCAAATTATTTCAAATAATTGTTGAAGAAACACTTCCAACTCATTTTATGAGGCCAGCATTACTGTGATACCAAAACCAGACAAAGATACCATACACAAAATAATAATAATTATAAGCCAATATCCCTAACAAACATAGATGCAAAAATCCTCAACAAAGTATTAGCAAACTGAATTCAAGAATACATTAAGAGGATCATACACCACAACCAAGTGGTATTTATTCTAGACATACAAGAATGGTTCAATATCCACAAATCAATTAAGGTGATACTCTACATTAGCAAAAGATAAAAGTCATCATCATCTCAATAGATACTGAACATTTAACAAAATTCAACATTCATTTAAGATAAAAATGCAACAAAGAGGGTTTAAAGGGAATATACCTCAACAAAATAAAAGCCATCTAGACAATGTGAAAAGCTGAAAGATTTTATTCTAAGTTCAGAAATAAGACAAGGATGCCCACTCACCACTTCTATTCAACATAACATTGGAAGTCCTAGCCATAGCAATTAGTCAAGAAAAAGAATAAATATCATCAAAATTGGAAAGAAAGAAGTAAAATTATCACTACTTGCAGATGGCATGATAATATTTAGAAAACCTTAAAGATTCTATCAAAAATCTATTAGAACCAATAAATGAATTCAGAAAGCTGCAGGATACAAAATCAATATACAGAAAGCTGCTGCATTTCTATACACTAATAAAAAACTAGCAGGAAGATAGATTTAAAAAATAATGAACTTTACAATTTCATCTAAATGAATAAAATACCTAGGAATAAATTTAACCAATTCATTGTGTGGAAAAATCTGTACTTCAAAAGCTGACTGTCTTAGCCAATCCAATCCATTGTTCATGAATAGGAACAACTTCACCAATGAAACCTTATTTACAACATCCATATGCCAATTAATAAACCAGAAATTTCACCAATGGAAACCCAAATGTTAGTTAACAGTGCCTCTGTTGTTGATCAGAACTAAAGACAGCTGAGCCTTTAAGTGGGGACTTTTCGATAAGATAAGAGTACTAGCAGCCTTCGCTGAGTGGAAGTCCTCTTTGGGGAAATGACAATACTGGTAACATAAAGTGCACACACACTATTTGGCTTCCCATCTGGAAGTATGTGAAAGTAATAAAAAGTGTTCAGTACAAATTTTGTATTATCTAATTGAGAAAGTATCATAATAAAAAAAAAACATTGAGTAGCTCTGAGTTTCAACATATCCTCATTGAGTTATGGAAGTTAATTTAGACAGAAAGTCATTTTAACTATATAGCTATGATGAGCCAAAATTTAGATTTGGTTCACTCTCAAAGTAACACCCTGTATATGCACTTGGTAACCTCAAACATACAAAATGCAACATGTCAAATTTACTTAAATTTTTTTTTAAACAGGAAACAAAGAGTTGAAAGTAGGGTAAAGAAATGTAAAGATCCACTTGTCCTTAGAACTAGCTAAAACTATTAACTTCGTTGGTCTGATGGCCTCTGAAACAAAGCGCCAGACAGCTTATGCAACCAGGCACAGCTAGAGAAAAATAAAGCAACTGGAATATTTTGTGCATAAAAGGAAATATTCCTCCTTTTTAAAAAGTAAACAGACAATACTCTCTTAACAATGTACTGGAAGGTAAAAATAGTAATGCTGGTACTGGGCAGAGCAACAAAATGTATTTATTTTCTGCTCCGAACTCTTCTTGGTTGCTAAGTTATTCATTCCAATCACAAAATGCGCTTGTCCACCACATGAACAAACAGGGAAAAGGAAAACGTTCTGCATATTAGAAATGCAAACGCTGTGAGCCCTACCTGACAAGATGTGGAAAGCAAAAATGAGAAGAGAGTAAAGCAGAAGAAGATATATATGCTTGCAAACAACACCTACTTTAAGATTTAGAATGAGTCTAGTGAACTTTCCCATCCCAGCCTTATATTTCAAAGGCTCTATTACATTAGAAGTGATTGGACCTGAGCCTGATTTGCTGAGTCATAAATGATCAGTAAGAACACGTTTATGTTTTTTTACCCTGTGCATCAATTTCCTGAAGAAAACAGGAACTGAGAAAATAGGAAATTGAATTTCTTCCCTAATTCTTTTGGAATTTAATTTGTAAAGACTAGAAATCCAAAGCAAATTAAATATGTAATTGCATACAACTCATGACTGATTTTGGTTTTATGTCAAATTTTCCTAAAACTTTGTGATATGAACACAGACAATGAGTCCTGAGTAACTTTAAATGAAAACAACATCTGTTACAGAATGCACGCTGCAATCTTAATTTATAGTCAATTATAAAATTAAATTGTCAGTTCTTAGTCATTATGGCATCTTAGTATTTTGAGTTGATGTGCAATCAAAAATTTAACCTGGAGTCTCCTAACAGTGATCCTTCATCCTTTTAAACATTCTGGTGACAAGTCACTGCCCATCCAGCAGTCTGCCCCACCACGGGATCTCTAATCCTGCACCTGCTTCCTAATGCTGAGCTGACCTTGGCCTCCCCAGAACTTCCACTCCACCATGCTCATGTCCCCATTTTCTGAAGTTCCACAAAATAAGCCCAATTGTTTTCCTATTTTCAGAGTCATTCCATGTTCTCAATCAACGGAAGTATTTTTTAATCCTCATGTGATTATATTACAAAACTTGTTGACTCAACTTCCAACCGACGGTAGAAACAACCTGCTTCCCTCCATCAGCCCCACCACCACTGCGGTCAGAGCCCCCATCACCCTGCAGACAGCAGGGCCTGCCTCTCCCTCACACTCCCACTCCCTCCTTCTGCTCCCAGTAGAGCAGCCAGAGTGGTCTTGGCTGAGGAACTTTCCACTCGATCTCAGCCTATTAACAAACTTTTAGTACATTGCCCAAAATTCAAGATAAAACCTCCAAACCCTCGATGTGGCCTAGCAGACCTAGCTGATCTGGCTCCAGGCAGCCTCCCCAGGCCCTGGTCACCCCCAGGCTGTTCTCGCCCTTAACATGCTACATCTTCAATTTCTGTTCCACAAACTAACGAGCCCTATACTCAGGAAAGCCTTCACAGACATTAGTCTATTAAATGCTGTCTCCACTAAGTTCATGATTTGAGATTTAGTGATGGCTCAGATGTCAGACCACAGGGCCTTTCTTAATTGGAACTTTTCCTGAATCCTCAGACTAGGGCAAGTCCTTCCATCATCTCTCACTGTCCCCTTACCATCCATCATCGAATTTATCATTATTTGTTTTATGTACTTAATTTCATAAATAATAATACTATTATTAATTACAATACCTGATTTTATTGAGGGCTCACTACACGCCAGGTCCTATGCTAAGAGCCTCAGAAGTGCTATCCCATCAAGGCTTCAAACAAATCCACGAGTAGTTACAATCAGTGCCCATACCTCACAGCTGAGAAAAGTGGGGGCTTGGAAAGGTTAAAGTGGGTGAGAGCCCAGATTGGAACCCAGTCCATTCCAGAACATGCTGCTGCTCTTAACCTTTAGGTGATAATGTTGGTATCTGACTCCTCCACTAACCTCTGAGTTTCAAGAGGCATGGATACCAAGTACCCAGGGGGCCCGTCAGAGGCAAATGATGGTCCTGTTTGCCAGATGCCACAAAATCAGAATAATGTCTTATTTCCCTATACTACCCCTCCCCTGATCTTTGTGGCTCAACTACCTATACAAAGGAGAGATTAGATGAGTAAACCTGGAACTCTTGTCTTGACATCTCTGGAGACTTTCTGAGTTTTTAAGGCACTTTACAGAAAACAAATAGCAGATAAAAGGAACAAATCAGGGAAATGAGCAATTTAAATACATTCGTCTGGATTCATTAGCTACAGAGCATGATCCAGTATATGCAGAAGTCAGATGATTTAGAAAGGAATCCTGGCTCGTTTCCCTCAGTATTAACAATGAACATTGTCAATGTTGCTCAAGATTTACCATTTGCCAAGCTCTTTGCTAAGTGACTTGCATCTGTTACTTTGTGTAATCATCACACCAGCCTGATGAGGTTGGTACTATTACCATACCCATTTTACTGGATATGGAAACAGAGATGCAGAAAGAAGGGTCAAATTGTTTGTCCAGAGTCTGCGGTTAGTAAAACTCTGCCCCAGCTGGGCCTGAAGCTCTTAGTACTGCAGGGCAGCATTGTGCAGAACAAGGAGAGATTCATAATACAACCCTAAAAACACATGAGCAGTACTATTAATACAAAACTATCTGTTGGCAGAAGAACACAAAAGCAAAGGGCACAGTCTTGGGAATAAACCTGGTATATTCCATCAAGGTGGTACTAAGTGCCAGGATAGATGCAGAACCAAGTTTTAAGGGAACTGGGCAGGGGGCAGGGGGATGGATAAAGATTCTACCTGACTCCAAGATTTCTGTGCCAATAATAAAGACTTGACTCAGCTCAATGGGCAGAGAAGTGATCTTGAATCAACTCAACTGCATAAGATGGTCCCGTAATAATGAGCAGCCAGATAAACGAGTCATTTACTCATACAACCAGGATTTGTTAAGAGTCTGTTTTGTACCAGGCATTGCTCTGGGCACCAAATAGCTACGGACTCTATTGCCAAGGCCCCTGCCCTTGTGGAGTTTTCATTCTGGTTGGGAAGAGACAGGCAATAAAAAACAAGTCTGCATGCACATGTGTAACATGTTAAGGGGATGGGAGCAGTAAGCTTTAAAAGGCAGGTGTGGGGCCAAGATAGGGCCAAGTGTCTGTGGGGGCCTCAGGGTGGGCTCCCTGACAGCAGGACATCTCAGCAGAGACCCAAAGGAGTGAGGTCCTGTGCCATGCGTGCATCAGAGGGGAGACAGTTCCAGGACCTAGCAGGCAGTTCCCCGGGGCTGGAGCAGAGGGAGCAGAGGGAAAGGGGGAAGGGCAGGGATGGGTCCAAGGGACACAGCTGTCACAGAGGGGAGAACGTTGTGACTGCAACAGGATAATGGCTTTTGTTGAGCTGCTAACGTATTGATAGTGGGGTCATGCCTTTCTGTCTGACTCTGACATATTATTATATAACATAACATGACCAATTTAAAAATAGAAATGAGAAAATGCTTGCAATATTATCTAACATGGCCTTTTTCAGTTTCCTAAGTGTTTGTCCAGCCTTTTTCCACATCCATCCATATTTTTCCATTTTTTGTCATAGTTATAAACAGCCTTACATCCTGTTTGTCTTACTTAGCCTCTTCTCATGCTCATTTTACTGGTTGATACAAAGCCTTCTGAGTAATCATTCTCATGGTTGCACAACATTTCAAGGGAACATACTACTTCCTCCTGGACACTCAGTGACTTAGGTCAGTATTACTGATGATGCACAAACATTCTTCTAGATCTGGATTATTTGGGAGCCTCTTGTTCATGAATATTTACATAGAGAGTTGATAGAGAAATGAGACATTTCTTGATAATCTCTATAGGTTTGAAGCTGTGAGACTAATTACCTGCTGATGGTATCGGTCACTTTTTCAGAGTAGACACCTTCTGGCACTGGGTCATATACCGCCTCCACTATCTGCAAAAAAAAGCAGACTAGAGTGATGGGAGGAAAGCGACCACTGAGATCTTTGAGTGATAACACTTTGCTGCAACATGAGAGTCACTCAATATGCATCAGAACTTTGTGCACCTATTTTAATCAGAAATAAAAGCACCCCAACAAAGTAAAAGTTAACGCCAATCAAACACCAAGTTCTTGAGCATGGAATAGTCTTCTTCAACCTGAGTAAAAGTAAACCTCAGATTTGTAATAAATCATGTGTAGGATAGTATAATATGCTCGACTTGTGGGTAGTCCAAAACAAAGTTAGTTGGTATATTTATTTTTATAAATTTCTATGCTAAACAAACACAGTTATGGGGGAAAATGTGTCACAATACATAATGTATATTTAGAAGGAAGGGGAAAAAATAAATGAACTGGATCATGTGGAATAAAGCAATGCCTGCTTCTAATTGACAATTTCATAAACAATCACAAAGGTTCTAGTTAAGAAGAAGAGGAATGGTGTTTCAGCAACACGAGGCCATTTTGTCTGCCAACATTGCTTACTTTTGTAGCAAGGGAAAGCATGTTGGTGCTGTAGAAGGGGGGGTGCAGAGTCGCCATCTGGTAAAGGATGCAGCCTGCTGCCCAGACGTCAGCCTTCTCCCCATACGGCTCACTCTTCAGTACCTCGGGGCTGCATGAGAATAAGATGTTAATAGATGCTGGAGAAGGGAGAAGATGGCACAGAAAGAAGTCCAATTTCCAAGATACAGCTGAATATATGAGAAAAAAATGTTTGGAACTTTTCATCACTTTTCAAGTAAACATATGAAAAAGTATCTTTGAATTCTCCCAGACACAGATCAATCAAGAAGCACAGTTGAGCAACACCAGTTTAGCACCAAGTATCAATGAGCTACATAAGCATCACCTGTAAGTGTCCAAATAAGTTTTTATTTCTAGAAACAATCACCCCTCTGTGGTAGATGGAATTGTAGGCCCCAGCTCTTTACTATTTTGGAGATTTTGTTCATTCCACCCTTTCTGTGGCCTCCTGGTAGGCAGTGGTCATTGCTGGCTCCTGTCTTTGGTTTTGATTGTCTATCTTGCTATGACCAGTGGGATGTGTGAGCAACAGTGCACCAGGCCACAGTCTTAGTCTTAACAGGTATTGAGTGCCTCCGTTTGTCCCTCCTAGGAGCTTCTGTCCATTACTAAGAGAAGAACACAGCCCAGTAGATGCTGTCCCACCAGCCTGGTCCCAGCATAAGACATGCAGAACAGATTTGCTCCGTACAATGCACAAGCCTGCAGCCTGAAGGAGAACCAGCCCAGAAGACCCACAGACCTGCAAGTCTGAAAATAATGCTTATTGTGGAATGCTAGATATTTTGTAGTGATTTGTTATGGAGCATTATTATGGGAAAAACTGATGAATACAACTTCCTCCCTTTCATGGGAGAAGACCATATTTAAATATGTTGCAGGAAATAAGAACATCTGTTGAGTTCATCTCTTCTGAAATTGCGTTTCCAATCTGGTCAAGGAAGCTGTCAGCCTTTAAATGAAATAAAGCTGTTTGGGTATATATGTTTGATATTTTCTTTGTGGAGAGGAGTGTAGTTCACTTGGATATTTTGGACTAATAGAAGTTTCCTCTACCATTTGTAGAATGAAATTCAGCAAAGAGCCAAAGGCACTCAATACCTACATACCCCAAACTAAGTAGTTTGATAATTCAGTTCTGTGTTATATATAAAAAGCATCCTCTGCTATCACCTGGTCATCTGCTCACAGTTAAAATGCCTTAACAAGAAATAATGTCCTCAACAGAAAAAATGTCCTTGGCTCCCCACAGACAAATTTCTCATTGGTGAGAAGATGTGTTTCATACTTCCAAAAGCTCAAGGGTCAGATGCTGAGTGTCCCACCGTTTCCCCTCAGGGTCCTTCCCCATTTCCTGTTCCCTGGGAGCTTTCACTCTCAACAGCCAGCATCTGGACTTCCTGAGAGGACAGCCTTCATTTTTTTTCTCAAAAGATAATTGCTCACTGTGGGGGAAAACAATAGTAAGAATAGAATACGGTTCCTTTTTCTCATCATTCCACCCCCTCCTCCTCCTCACTAGCACACAAACTCTTCTTGCTTCCTCAGGCACACCCCTGTGCACTGTGGCTTTGCGGGTCCTCCCGTCAAGACATGGAGTCTATTTCTCTACCCCTGGAACCCGGGGTTGACATGGGTCTTGTTTTAGCCAAGACGACATCAGCAAAAGTGGCTGTGAGGAGAGACTCGAAAAGTACTTACTCACTGGGTTTTGTTCTCTCTCCCTGCTCTTCAGAAGTTTATGAGCACAACCAGGTAACTGAGTCCACACTTTCCTGCTGGATGGTGAGCAACACGTGGACTAATTGCTTCACCAACCCTACCCACAGCCTGCCAACCCCAGACCTGTGAGCTAAGCCATTGAAAACCAAGCAGCCACCATGCATAGGTGAGCCCAGCCACCACTCTGATCCGCAGTCCCCGCTGGGACCAGCCCAAACTGACAGGACACAGTGCGCTGAGCAGAAAAGGGGCAGTGGCGGTGCTGGTAGGTGTATTAAGCCACTAAGTTTTGAGGTAGTTTGTCGAAGTTAACTGATAATAGCTTTCATTAGATTCTTAAAAGTGTCCATGGGCCTCTGAAAAAGGCTGAGAATCACTTCTGTGGAAAAGAATGAGAAATGAAAGACAAACAACACTGTTGCCAGCTATCACTTTGCTTCTGGGATCAAACTTCAAATATCCTGTAAGGTAAGAATTTTATAATTACAGCTCAAAGTAGTGACAAACAGAAAACAGAGTCTTCTCTTAGAGAAGCCACAATAAACATTCTGCTATAGTCCTGAATTTTGTCCCCCAAAATTCTTATGTTGAAGTCCAGTCCCCAGTACCTCACAAAGTAACCATATTTAAAGGTAAGGTCTACACGAGATGATTAACTTAAGATGATGCTATTAGGGTGGGTCCTACTCCAATATGATTGGTGTCCTTATAAGACGAGGAAGATACACCAGGATGTACATACACAGAACAACGACCATGTAAAAAGGCAGCAACAGGATGGAGACTTGGCATCTGCAAGCGGAGAGCAGCTTTAGAGAAAACCACCGGACCAACATCTTGATCCTGGACTTCCAGCCTTCAGAACTGTGGGAAAATAAATAGGGAGCCTTCTCCTTGAGAGCCGTGGCTGTGAAGAAGCACAGGGACAGGAAGAAGCTGGGGAGGGCTAAGTGGGGGACTTGAGTTTGCTTTCAAGACAGTGGTTCTGCCAGATATGAATGTCCATCCCTGTAAAGAATCCAGCCAAGAAGGAGAGGTCAAAGGTGTGGCAGGAAGGGAGAAAATGAAACCCCTCCAGGGCCTGGGGTGAGTGGGGCTGAGAGGAATACCCAGCCTCAGCTTGAGAGGGCAGGACCTTAGGGGGCAGCCAGGTTTCACGCAAAGCCAGGTAAAGTCTTAGAGAAGAGATTAGGGAGAGATTGCTGATCTCAGGGGGAGTTCCAGGGGGTGGCAGTGGAAGAGCTGGGTGGAGGGTAAGGAATGGTGGGCACTTACAGGCAGCAGAAAAGAAATCTAGGCAGTGTGAGGGTTAACAGGGCTCTCATGCTCTCTGAAAGCACTAGCTCCTGGTTCCCTTGAGCCCAGTCTCTCCTGTCTCAGGCCATGCTCCCCACAGCCACGAAAATGACCTTCCCATAATGCAAAGCTGGTGTCTTCACCACTTCTAGCAACCAAATCACATTCCACCATTGCCCTGTGAGTCTCACCCATTCACAACCACAAATAATGTAAAAACCCTCCCTTGACTATAAGTCTGCCTGTAAATACCACACTTTTGTTTCTTTCAAGGCAAAGTCTTTTAAAAGAGTAACTTTGTTGGCCTTCTCCATCTCTTCACTTACTATCCACCATTCAACCCAAGTGCAGACCAGCTTCTGTGCCTGTCACACCACTAGGATGTCTCCTCCTTAGAACACCCATGGATCACAACTGCCTCACTTGCTTTAGGTGACTTCCCTGCACTTTTTGGGCACCATTAACTGAAACTTCATTCTTGAGATATTGTTGTTTTATTCATATATTCAGTAAATATTTACTATGCACCCCCAAAGTTCAGACACTGTTTGACCTGCTTGGAATATATCAACAAACAAAACACCTGCCCCTGTGAAGCTTACTTTCCAGTAAGGGACAGGGGCAGGGAAACTATAAAACACAATACAACAAATCAATTAAAAAATAAATCACATAGAATTTTTAGTGGGTGAACAATACTATAGGAAATGGAAAACCTGGATTGGAGTAAAGGTGTCTGGGAGTCGACGAGGAGGGCAGATTAGGTTATAAAACTAGAAAGGGTGGTTCCCACATTGTGGAACTACTTTCTTTCATCTACATGTTAAATGGTGCTTTTCTTCTCACTCTTCACTGTCTCCTTGGATAATTTCATTCATACCCAAGACTTCCATTAAAACCAGATGCAGACAACCGTCAGATTTACTCTCCACCCCACTGCCCCAAAGGACTACACAGGGTGCCTCTTCCTGCCACAGGATCTGTCACAAATCACTGATTTTTGGTTGAAGAGCTAGACTCTGTGAACGATTTGCCTATTTTATAAATTAGCGTTGAGAACCTACCCGATGTCTACAACCCTCACATTTTATCGAATTTCAAGAGCTGTCTGAGGAGCAGCAAATGGGCGGGGTCCTCTCTACAGACCCAGCCCCTCGTCCCCGCAGCAAGGAGACAGTCAGCTCCTGGGACACAACCTGGCCTGGTTTTCTTCGCAGCTCCTGGTGGGACCCACGATGGTCTTTGCCCGCCCATTACCTCCTGAGGCAAACATTTCTTTTCATGTTTCTACCTCCACTTCTGCTGCCATTGGCACTTCAAACAATCCTATGGCTTTTAAATATCCGTGTGCCTGTATGTCCACGCAGGTGAGTTTTTTCTTAATCTGAAAGACTCAGGGCTGGTTACTGAGCAACTCACTGATTCTTTCTGATATCAAGATCCAAGTTTTCCAAAGCAACTGCCACTTCAGATTTATCCCTAATTCCTGGCGTGTCTGCCATTATTACACTGGTGAGCCACAGTTAAACCTGACCTTCCAAATGCTAGTACTTTCTCCAGAAGATAAAATTAAAATATTTGACAGCAGTGAGTTCATAAAGATGAGTTTATGTACACTACTAAGGAGCAGAAAGCAATACTAGAACTAGATAGATTCATTTGTCAAAGGGTATGTGAAATTGCAGAAGAAATTGAAATTTTGAAAAACTATCATTGAAAAAGTAATCTCATTGGCAACATAATGATGTAGCATCTTAGAAGTAGTGTTTGGAGATATCATAAAAGAAAATTTTCCCTAATAAATGTTAGAAAATATTAATAAAAGAATCTTGAGAAATGTGAGACACAGTGAAGGCTAGATGTTTGGAAACAAGTATGTTTTATTGAAATAATTCACCCAATAATATCTGCTTCACTGGGTAAAGATAGAAAAGGGATTTTTACATCCCACTGCAATGTATTAATTCTGAGTCTATTAAAAAGTACATTTAGTTCCCAGGTTCTGGCTATCAAAATCTCATCTCCCTAGACTGTCTTTTTAAAAAAGGAGAAAGAGAACTAACTTATTGT